CATTCTTCACAAACATTAATCATGACCCCCATGATCCATCTATGGTATTCTCAGCATCCTTCTGTAGAACCACATATGTTGCTTCAAGTCTCCTATAAATAAATAGAACTTCAATTCTGTTTTTTACCAAGATATTAGTGCTTAAAACTTTTATATTAGACTTATCTGTGGAAAAACACAATAAGTCTCATCTAAAAAAAAAAATTATATTCAAAATAAAATAAAAAATATTAGATCAAGATAACATCCCTACAAAATAAAACCTATACAAAAGTTTTGTGATGCCAGGTTTGGGAAGAGCCTAGCTATGTGCCTAAGTAACAATGTGTTCACAATAGTTTTTACAAAGTAATATTTTTTACATACAATAAATTGCAGCATACAGTTGACTGCAAGATTTATAGCTCAAAATTCAGAATTGGGTCTGTATCTACCATATAGGTTGACACCCTCCCAATACACACTAGGCTACCAGTAACACAAAAAGATTTTTTTAGGCTTGACAACTCAACTTGTATGCGACAATTTACAGTGTCATAATTATTTCATGCACATATTAACTATAATATGAAGACTTTAAAATGTCACATGGGAAAAAAATTTTTACATCTGTCCTTACAGTATCTTGGTATTATCTGTTAATAGTTATATTTCATTATTTACATTATTCAGACTATTGTCCTCATCTTTTTCGCCATGTATCCTTGATAGCACAGTGGATAAAGGTGTTTGTTAGATCCAGTGACAGGACCCAAAGAGTGCGAGTTCAATACCTGCTTAAGGCAGTGGATAACTTTCAGAGGGAAATTAACAGGAGATAACTGACATCCATCAGAAATGGCACAACTAGAACAGTCTACCCCAGTGAAAATAACGGGTTCAGTTTGACATTTGAACCACCTGAAAAAAGCTATGAAAATTTTGTGATAAATATGGCGAAAAAGATTCAATAGTCCGAAAATATAAATTATGTACTGTTCTCATCAATATAACAGTTATATTTCAGATGTTTTATAAATGATAAATGGGTGTAAGTATAAAAACAATAACAAAACAGGAAATTTGGACAGTTTATCAACAATTTTGATTTGTATGTAAAACAATTTATTTCGAAGCATAGCATCTTGGGGTTTTTTTTTCATTGGTTCATTTCTTCTGTCAGATGGTTTTATATATTTATATATTATATAATTTTATTTTACACACACAATAAATATGTTCACCATTTCCTTTTTACATAGCTTACCCTAAAGATCCATTTAGGTGAAACCTAGGTGGTAGTTCTTCCTTAAAGATCTATTTAGATAAAAGGTAGGTAGGTTGTTCCTGGCTCTTTAGGATCTATTTTATTTACCTTTGTTCTACTTAGCATATTAAGGGTTTCTTTCTTTGGACTGGAAATTTAAGGCACTTGACTATTTTTTTGCCCTGTTCGGATGTTTCTGTTTCTAATTTGTTTTGATATACTTGTAAATTGTGCCATCCAGGTTTTTTTTACTAACCGAGTATAATTATTAATATATATATATATATATATATATATATATATATATATCTCCTATGGTGTAAGAAAAACAGTACTCAATGTATAATAACAGAGCTATTTAATATATTAACAAGTATACATAATACCTTATGCTGATTACACAACTGAGTTTCATGCTGTCTGCAATCTTCAGTTGTTTTATATATATATATATATATATATATATATATAAGTTTTGACAAGGGCCTTTAGTGAAGATTGAACTCTCTACTCAATATTAGCCTGTAAGGACAGCTTGCTAAGATTACTGCAACAATGTCAAGTCTCATTTGTGTTTGTGTATAGATATTATCTATTTCAATAAAAAAGTCTATCACTTTTATCTCATAGACATGGCATATTTGAACACCCCACCATTCCTGTGTATATAAATAATTGATATGGAATAACTTATGTGGTAGGAATATATAATGAATTAGCATGCATGCACATACTCTATATATATATATATATATATATATATATATATATATATATATATATATAGACAGAGAGAGATGCATACTCCCATTCACATGTTTAACACACATATACATATATATATACACACACATACAATACAACAATATATAATTTTGTATAATTTTATATATGAACAGTTTTCTAAAATATGACTAACTATTTTTTTTTGTGACATTTCTCATCTGATGAAATCCTAACGAATGAAAACAGCACAAGAAACCTTTCCAGTTTGTCTTTTTTATATATATATATATATATATATATTGTATATATATATATATATATATATATCTCAAAGTATATAATTGGTATATCCGGAAAATTCCAATAACCAACAATTACTATTCTTAACTTGCTCAATACAAAATAGTATAATTATTTTTTATAAAAAAATTATAACATAAGTATGTTATAAAATCACTACAAAAATAGCCATTTTGTTTTAACACACTATTTTTTCAAGTGATGATGTTGAAAATATTGTCCAAAACAAAATGGCTTTTTTGTATGATTTTATAACATATTTTTTTTCACAATGTTTATATATATTATATATATATTCCGTTTTATTATGTTTAACGTTGTTATTTTATAGATACAAGTATTTAAGCAAATGCTCTGTTTATGATAAACAGTATTAAATAACATTTACCGGCCTGAATGTCCGAGAAATTTTTCATAGAAAATATTCGTTCTTTGACAGGAAATCGAACCTGCATCCTATACGGAACCGTCATATACGCGACACCGATAGGCTACAAAGAAGCGTTCGGTAGAACAGTCTACCCCTCCAATTTTCCATAAATTTTCCATTTTCAAACTGACGAATGTAAACAAATGACGTCATATATTAAAAAAATGGACAGGTCCGACAATTTTATTTATTAAAGACATTTTTTATTTATGTTTAACGTTGTTATTTTATAGATACAAGTATTTAAGCAAATGCTCTGTTTAAGATAAACAGTATTAAATAACATTTACCAAAGAATGTCCGAAATTTTCAAAAAATATTCGTTCATTGTCAGGCAATATGTTATTTAATAGGATTATACTCATTTGCAAATTCGAATTGTAAAATAACAACGAACGTTAAACATAATTTCTGTCTTTCTAAATAGACATCCTATCCATTTCTTAATATATATATATATATATATATATATATATATATATATATATATATAACACAACAAAAACCTTCAAATATGGCATAAAGGCAAAAATTAATATTTTCTCCAGTTCTGCCTCCCTCTTCCATCACATATGTTCCCAAATGATTGTAGTAGAAAGTCTGCGAGCATTTAAGAAGTACTACAGCAACTAGTGGCAACAAATAATCAATTATGTCCTCTACACAAGCTGAGCATTGGTAAGAAATAGACAAGAGATTCTCACTCCAAAGTATTTACTCAGAAATATCTTGTGACACGACTATTTACGCAGTGGCTGAGCAGTTGTTTTCACTATCTTTGTTATTATCCTTTTATGTGCTGTATCTCTTCAGAACATTGGCGTTCATAGCTCTCCACAACTTCCTGTCTCTTGCCTTTGGTATATCCTGTGAATATAAAATTCTCCAAGCCCTCTTTCCTCTCCAAAATTACCCTTTCATTCCATTTTTCTTAAAACTTCCTAATTGCTCATATGATTCATCCATGGTATTCTCCATATCCTTCTGAAGTACAAAATCTGTTGCTTCAAGTTCCCTTTCCATCTTTAAGTAAATTATCCATCATTCATTGCCTATAGGAGAATTGATATTACATAGCAGTTCAGCACTATTTTCTTCATTTCTAATGAAATTTTCCTGTTTTCTAATACTTTGCTTAGCTTTTGGAAGCCATCTTGCACTATTCTTGTGTCCCTTCAGATTTTGATGTCAAATTGTCCGCAAAAACACTTCTTGGAACTTCAATCATTATCTGTCTATATTTCTGATATGAGGTATTATGTACACTACATTATTCAGACTATTGTCCAAAACTTTGTTGCCATATTTATCACAATGTTTCGGCTGTTGTATGTTCCGTCCTCCTTCAGGTGGCTGGAATGCTGAACTGAACCCTTTATTTCAATACCTGGTTAAGGCAGTGGAGAACTTGGAGATGAATTAACAGGAAATAACCGATAACTGACATCCATTAGACATGGCACATGGAACTAGAACAGTCTACCCCAGTGAGTGAAATAAAGGGTTCAGTTTGACATTCCAACCACCTGAAGAAGGCCGGAGCATACAACGGCCGAAATGAAAATAGTCTGAATAATGAAAAGAATCAATCATATTCAACTATTGACTATTGTCTAATTTTCTATCTATCCAGACATCTTTTCATTAATGTATCTGTTTATCTTTAAAAATAACCCAAAAAAAACCTATTGCTATAAATACTTTAACTTTCCATTTTGCTAAATTATCTAGTATTTTCTGGAAATGTGGATCAGTTTAATGGCCAGTGGCATTGCAAATAGAAACTGCAAACATAGTTGTAAGTTACTGGAGAGTTCCAGTCAGGTAATCTACAGAAGGATGCTGAGGATACGATGGGCCAAACATGTGAGCAACAACAAGGTTTTGGAGACAATGGAAACAAAAAAAATACTCATGGATGAACAATCATCCACATCACAATATCACCCACATCAATCTTCTTAGTGACATCAGCGAAAAGTCTTATCAACAAGAAGGTTGTTGTTCACCTCACCAGAAAGAACCTCCTGAGCAACAAACTGAACTGATTTTATTCCTCTATGTCCAATGCTGATGTCCTGACATTACAAGCAGAGTGAGTGAAGTATTTGATAATTCATCACAAGGATCAACCATAATCAATCCTATATATCATAATATGCCTTGTTCCCTTCTTGTATACTCTTACAAACCTCCCACCTTGAGTGGTTCTTGGGATTTGTATTGGGTTCACAATAGCATAAAGACAAGACAAACCTATGAGAAACAGAGAAGAACATGTCTGAGAAACTGACAAATCTATACAGGTATATGCATTAAGAAAGCAGAGAGAATTCTAATCAGAGAGAGCAGCGAAGGGAGAAAAAAAAAACGCGAAAGAGAGCAGCGAAGGGAGAAAAAAAAAACGCGAAAGAGAGCAGCGAAGGGAGAAAAAAAAAACGCGAAAGAGAGCAAAGGAATAAAAAGAAAGAAAGAAAAAACGCGAAAGAGAGAATAAAAAAAAAACGCGAAAGAGAGCAAGAAAGAATAAAAACGCGAAAGAGAGCAAAAAGAATAAAAAAACGCGAAAGAGAGCAAGAAAGAATAAAAACGCGAAAGAGAGCAAGAAAGAATAAAAACGCGAAAGAGAGCAAGAAAGAATAAAAAACGCGAAAGAGAGCAAGAAAGAAAAAAAAAAACGCGAAAGAGAGCAAGAAAGAAAAAAAAAACGCGAAAGAGAGCAAGAAAGAAAAAAACGCGAAAGAGAGCAAGAAAGAATAAAAAACGCGAAAGAGAGCAAGAAAGAATAAAAAACGCGAAAGAGAGCAAGAAAGAATAAAAAACGCGAAAGAGAAAAAACGCGCAAGAAAGAATAAAAAAACGCGAAAGAGAGCAAGAAAGAATAAAAACGCGAAAGAGAGCAAAAAGAATAAAAAAAACGAAAGAGAGCAAGAAAGAATAAAAAACGCGAAAGAGAAAAACGCAAGAAAAGAAAGAATAAAAACGCGAAAGAGAGCAAGAGAAAGAAAGAATAAAAAACGCGAAAAAACGCGAAAGAGAGCAAGAAAGAATAAAAAACGCGAAAGAGAGCAAGAAAGAATAAAAAACGCGAAGAGAGCAAGAAAGAATAAAAAAAAACAGAAAGAAAGAGAGCAAGAAAGAATAAAAAAAGCGAAAGAGAGCAAGAAAGAATAAAAAACGCGAAAGAGAGAAAGAATAAAAAAACGAAGAGAGAAGAAAGAATAAAAACGCGAAAGAGAGCAAGAAAGAATAAAAACGCGAAAGAGAGCAAGAAAGAATAAAAACGCGAAAGAGAGCAAGAAAGAATAAAAACAAGAAAGAATAAAAAAACGCGAAAGAGAGCAAGAAAGAATAAAAAACGCGAGAAAGAGAGAGCAAGAAAGAATAAAAAACGCGAAAGAGAGCAAGAAAGAATAAAAAACGCGAAAGAGAGCAAGAAAGAATAAAAAACGCGAAAGAGAGCAAGAAAGAATAAAAAACGCGAAAGAGAGCAAGAAAGAATAAAAAACGCGAAAGAGAGCAAGAAAGAATAAAAAACGCGAAGAGAGCAAGAAAGAATAAAAAACGCGAAAAGAGAGCAAGAAAGAATAAAAAACGCGAAGAGAGAAGAAAGAAAGAAAAAACGCGAAAAGAGAGCAAGAAAGAATAAAAAACGCGAAAGAGAGCAAGAAAGAATAAAAACGCGAAAGAGAGCAAGAAAGAATAAAAAAGCGAAAGAGCAAGAAAGAATAAAAAAAAAAAAAAGAGAAAGCAAAAAAGAATAAAAAACGCGAAAGAGAGCAAGAAAGAATAAAAAACGCGAAGAGAGCAAGAAAGAATAAAAACGCGAAAGAATAGCAAGAAAGAATAAAAAACGCAAAGAAAGAAAGAATAAAAACGCGAAAGAGAGCAAGAAAGAATAAAAAACGCGAAGAGAGCAAGAAAGAATAAAAAAAAAAAGAGCAAGAAAGAATAAAAAAACGCGAAAGAGAGCAAAAAATAAAAAAAAAAAAAAAAAAGAAAAGAATAAAAACGCGAAGAGAGCAAGAAAGAATAAAAACGCGAAAGAAAGAAAGAATAAAAAAACGCGAAAGAGAGCAAAAAGAATAAAAACGAAGAGAGCAAGAAAAAAAAAAAAACGCGAAAGAGAGCAAGAAAAAAAAAAAGAAAGAGAGCAAGAAAGAAAAAAAACGCGAAAGAGAGCAAGAAAAAAAAAAAAAAGCGAAGAGAGCAAGAAAGAAAAAAAAAAAAGCGAAAGAGAGCAAGAAAGAAAAAAAAAAAAACGAAAGAGCAAGAAAGAAAAAAAAAAAAAAAGAAAAAAAAAACGCAAGAAAGAAAAAAAAAAAGCGAAAGAGAGCAAGAAAGAAAAAAAAAAAAGAGAAAGAAAAAAAAAACCAAAGAGAGCAAGAAAGAAAAAATGAAAGAGGAAAAGGTAAAATTTAAGAGAAGAGGAAAAAGGAAACAAATAAAGTAAAAAATAATAATGAATAATCGGTACAAAGATAAGAAAGAAAGATAACGTTTACATGTTCTTATCGTGTGTAGGAGTATTTCTTTAATTGCTTGGAAGAAAATCAACAAAGGCAAAAGAGACATTGCCATGAGTGAAAAGGAGATATTCATTACCAATCGTAAATTGCCTTTATGTGGGCGGACATATTTAAATGTAATCCCTACACCCTTACTATTGCAAAACCCATCACATGTTCCTTCACACTCCAGCATTTCTTCTTTTACAAATAGTCATTGTCTATTCGATGTTATACAGATTTACATGCATAACAATTGCAACATAATATGCGGCTGTGGAATATGGCTGGGTTGGTGCATTTTATGACATATCAACACATGTTCAATTATTCAGTACCGAAATATCCAAGTTTATACTTGTTTCTATAGGTAAGAACTTGTCTGCTCTACAGTCAAATCTATAATGAAATACTAGTCTGGTAAATACTGAACTATGGGTAAATAAAACAGAAAACATTAAGGAGTGAGAACAAAAGAGTAATCAGGAAGACAGTAGATTGCAATTGACATTGCATTTGAAGTTTTTAATAGGGAACTTGGCTGGAAAGCATGAAGCCAGAAGGGAGTTCCACAAGTGAGAAGTATGAGAAAAGAAACTGTTAGCATAGAACTTACAGCTACATCTAGCTATTTCAACTGTAACTTGGTGAGACCTCATATCTCCAGTCTAATATTGCATTTAAATTCAAAAAGTCTAAGTAGCATAGCGAAGAGCTCATCGGAACAATTACCAAGAAAGTATCTATATAAAAGGCACAGGAAGACAATGCGACAGCAACGGAGAACTGACTGATGCCGAGATTCCAGATCAGGACCAATAATATTTCTGATTCATCTTTAGATTTCGTCAGGAAGTTCTAGATAAATAGCTGGAACACTGAATCATATGGGACAGCAATATTCTAAGCATGGATGAAAATCTTAGCAGCTGACCTGGCAATGGATTCAATATAGTCTTTCCACTTCATGTCAGCCAAGAACATTAGCCCAAGTAGACATGAGTCACACTCTTGGAGGTTAGCATCAGCCATACTGATGGAAAGCAAACAGAATTCTCTCAGATGATTAATAGAGAACATTTTTGTTTTGGAGGTGTTAAAAATAACAAGCCATCCTTTGCCTCAGTTAATAGACTAAAGTTTTGTTTTGGACATCACCTGCCAATTTGACTTTATCAAACTGATCAGACTTATTATTGAGACAGGAGTAAATGGCTGTGTCATCAGCATAGTGTAGTTAAATGGGTCTCTATTTCTCAGATATTGTTCTTACAATACAAATTACTGCTTGTTCAATCTGCCATTCTTGCATGCTGCACACTTCACCAACATAAAACCATTCTGCCTTCTCACTGCTTCAGCCCTTTTTATCAGGCCAACACCACAGCCGACCAACCAATCAGCATTCTTCACTTTTGCTCTCAGTCACCCAGGCAAATAGCCTCCTCCAGTCTGACCAATCAGCACATGACTTTCTATTGGCCGAACCATGCCAAGCTGTACAAAAAGCTACTGTCATAGCACATACTGTGGGAACAGTCTAACTGGAGATTAATGCCATTTTCAAGGAAAAAACTCCTGATGCTACGTGCCACATGTTGATGTAAGGCATTTTCCTTTGTACCATATGCAAGCTACTCTGGCTTGCTTGCTTCTACATGATTGGTCATCACATGTAGATACCAAGTTGAGAACTGATGCCATCAAGGAAGCCATTAATGAAAATCAAAAACAAATTAGATACAAGGACAGAGCCCTAGGATACACCTGCATTAGTACGAAAAGATCTAGAAGAGTGGCTATTCAGGATAACTTTCATTTTATGATTTGATAGGAAAACCTGAATTTGTCTGGAGACACTGTAACTTTTTAACTTGTTAAGAAGAGCTGTATGCCAAACACTGTTGAAAGCTTTCAAGATATCCAAAAACTACAGCCCAGGTTTCAACTTTCTCATCTAAAGCTTGGTAGATCCTTTCTGCAATTATTGCCCATACATCAGCAATTGATCTCAAGAAATAAAAGCCATATTGCTTGTCTGAAAAGTGCCCTGTGATGTGAGATGCTTAACCAATTCAGCATTGATTAGGGCCTCTAGAAGTTTCCCAAAATGAGAAGGAAGGCTGACAGTTGGTAGGGACGGATGATTTGCTGGAGTTCTTAAATTGGAAAAACAGATAGGAACTTCCAGTATGCAAGAAAGTAGGGAGCAGTGAAGCATTTATTATACAGTTTAGAGAGAACAGGAGCGAGTTCAGAAGCAGGTTTCTTAAAGAGTATTACAGGGATACCATCAGGTCCACGGGCTTTGTTGGGATCCTGGCAATATATTCATATCACTCAACAGAGACTGAGTTGTAAGTGGGAAGTTAGGCAGGGATACTCCAGATGAATCAAGAACTTTTGGGTGAACATTCATCTCAAACTGATTTAATATATATATATATATATATATATATATATACACACACACGTCCTGGGTAAGACGTTAAACTACATTCAGCAGCGAGGCCTCTGATCAGGAGGTTTTGAGGAGTGTGGAACCACCTCTTATTTGCTGGCGTTCCCAGGTCCACCCTGACCCGGGGTGGTAGCACCCTGTTAGGGTCCCAGCTATGGGCAAATAGTTAACTCTTACCAGCAATACTTTTTTGAAAAAAATTATTACCAGCAATACAATTTTGGAGGAAATATATTGCCAGAAAGATTTTTGACAAAACAAAATATTACCAGCAATAAAACTTTTTGTCAGCATTAAATGACCCATTGATGTTGATATGCCATAAAACAAAATAAACCAAACCAATCTAAACCAAAGAATACATATTCTATTCATATGAATCTATCCTAAAAATGTTGTCAGCATTAAATAACCCATTGAGGTTGACATGCCGTTAAACAAAAAATTAAAATAAATAAATGTACAATGAAAATTTTCTCAGCCAAAAATAAAAACTAAGTTAAAATTAGTTAAAATGTAATTTCTACAACACATTTGAACAAAACATCAAGTGTTTATTCCTGCGATATGTAAATCCCATTTTGTCTTTATTTTCATCAAATAGTATCTTTTTTTCTGATGAACATATGAAAATAGAAGTTTCATATACTGTCATAGACAATTCCCTAATCAGTGTCCAGCCAAACAAAGACTCCCAGGATGTACTGTTCCATAGAATGACTTTCCCCTATGCCAAGGAAGACTGGGACAGTTTCTGATCCTACATGATGGAAGCTCCTCTTTCAACCTTCTTCGAGCATCTTTCCTCAAAATCTGTTGCCCTTGCCACTGATTGGATCCTTTTTGGTATGGAGAGTTTTATACAACAAAAATTCTGGCAAAAGCCAAACAATCAACAATAGTTCCCCCCTGAATGTACTACAGACATAACTCACCAAAACCACTACTTTAACATCTATTGCAAGAAGTGAAGTAGTTTGGCCCTTATTGCATTGGGAACTGCCCACAATTGCTGCAAAATAGCTCCAGAAAATGTCTAGTGCACCTACGCATGAGTGGTCCAGACCAAGGTTGAAAAGAAACGAATTGAATCCCATGAATTTTGGAAGATCACCAATCAAATCATGAACAGAGGTAAAACAGCTGTGCCCACCATTATAAATGGCCCTGAGGTGATATCTTCTTTGACTGATAAAGCGAACCTCTTCACCCCCATCTTTGCCTCTAACTTAATGTTAGATGAAAAAGACCATCCCCTCCCCATGTTTCCATGCTTCACTGAGCTCAATCTCAGTAATATTACCATCACAGCATGTGATGTCTCTAGATTTATCAAAGGCTTTGACCCTAAGAAATCCACTGGTCCAGACAAAATTCTGGTGGTTGTCCTTAAGAACATCAACCTGGAACTATCTCCAATCCTAGCAAAGTTATTCAACTGCTACTTGAAAGAGAAATCCTTCCCAAACCTGTGGAAAGAGTCAAGCATATGCCCAGTTTTCAAGACCATGGGTGTGCAATCTTCCCTCTCCCAGTACAGACACATCAGTCTCCACAATATCATCAGCAAGCTCTTTGAGGCCATAATGAATAAGGTCATCAAACACTTAGAAGAGAACAAACTCTCCAGTGACGAGCAGTATGTTTTGGTCAGCCCAATCAACTGCCGATGTCCTAACTAGCATCACTCACAGAATCAGTAAGGATCTTGATGACAAACACACCTCAAGGACCATAGCACTAGAAATCTCAAAGGCATTTGACAAGGTTTGGCACAAAGTCTTACTACACAAGCTCTCCAGGTATGGAATCACTGGAAGGGTTTTCTCAACCATAAAATCCTTCCTAACATGTAGATTCCTAAGAGTAGTTATCAAAGGCCAGTCCTCTAAAGCCCTAGTAGTCAACACAGGCATCCCCCATGGGTTACACCTTGGACCAACCCTCTTTTTGATCTAAATAAATTATCTGCCTAAGAATATACTCATATCATTTGTAAACATCTATGCTGATGATACAACTATATAGAGGTGTACCTCTAAAACTCATGATGGTCAGAGATTGGTGACTGAACTCTTTTGATCTTACAAACTACCCAATAGGATAAAAACTGACTGGTTACATTCAATGTCTCAAAGACCAAACTTGTTACATTCCATAATTACATATCTGGCCCGAAACTACCGCCAATCTGGATGAGCAGAGGTCCTCTTAGGGAAGCACTGTGCCTTGAAAGACTGTTGGGCCTCAAACTCACACCTGACCTCAAGTGGAAGTCATATATACAATCCATTATTAAAGATGTAGGTAAAATGGTCAGCTGCCTGTAACACTTCAGTAAGTACCTGATCCCTCCTTCTATCCTCTATCATTACAAGAACACGATCAAACCGAAAATGGGCGATTCTTATCATATTTGGGTAGCAGTTGCCCAGACCTCACTGTCCAGCCTCGATAGTGTTCAAAAACATTTCCAAGTCCTTGTGGGCGATGAACAATTCTCCACTCTTCACTCTCTCTCACAGACAGGATGGGGCAAGCTTTTCATTGCTCTACCACTATTTCCATGGAAAGTGCTCAGATGAACTACATTCCCAGGTCACGCTAAAGCAAACCTTCACAGCAAGCACATG